TGGGAGAAAGATTAAGGAAAACACGTGACATTTTTTCTTTATACTTTATACAAACAATATATGACTCGCCAGTCCCGAGATCCTATATAAAAATGCATCCCACACTCTACTCTTTGCTCCTTGTTTCTGTGACAAAATAGCTTGTTCTCTCTTAAGACTGTGCAAGACACTCTAAATATAATAAGTAGTTAAAAGGAGTGATTTTAGAATGTTTTCATGGGCTGCCTGACACTCTTTGGTCCGAATCCAGAATTCCTGAAATTGGTGCTTTTTGGTGTGTGTGTCCATGTGATACAGTGTAAATTCTTCCTCTCCATTCTCCAAAGGTTGAGTTTTCCAAGGTTTTTGCTGAAAAATTTCATAATAGCAAAGTCATAACACTCCATCTATCTCCTGAAAGTATTCTTTGTGATTTACCAGCCAGTCTTCTCTATTCTCACTTTTCAATAGTTAAGGTTGCCTGGACTTCACCTTGAGTTAGGAAAGCTCTAGCAACTTAGTAGGGCCTTAATTGGATGTTTTATTTTTTATTTATTTATTTTTTAAAATATATTCTATTAAGTTTTTACAGAGAGGGAGGGAGAGGGATAGAGAGTTATAAACATCGATCGGCTACCTCTGGCATACCCTCGACTGGGGATGTGCCCGCAACCAAGGTACATGCCCTTTGCCAGAATCGAACTTGGGACCCTTCAGTCCGCAGGCCGGTGCTCTATCCACTGAGCCAAACTGGTTAGGGCATTAATTGGATCTTTTAATTGGAGATAAAATAATACCGCACAAAGCCTTCTCTGGAGGTTGAGATAAACATTCATTGAAACAGTATTTTGTTCCCTTCCCCAACCCCTGGCCCTTTTTTAATAGTGATCAGCAGGATTGTAAAATGCACACATTCCAGAAATTCTAATCCTATCAGTCTGTTATATAACGGCCTAGAATATGAACATTTACCAAAACCCAGGAAATTCTAATGCAAGTGATGTTTCTACTCTTACTCAGAAAAATTATAACATCTGACTTTCCTCTATTGATCAAATGATTTAGATTGTTTGTAAAAGAATTAATGTTTTTTGACATGCAATTTAGACAAAGCCATATATGCAACTTTAACAAAATCATTTTCTAGGTGTGCACAAAAAATTTTTAAAAGAACACAACGAATGTAAGTGTTGGTTCTAAACCTAGTGTTATTAGAAGTTCTGGGATTTCCTCATCTGTTTAACATTCAAGAATAGATTTTTCGCTCAGTTGGTATGGCTCAGTGGTTGAGCATAAACTTATGAACCAGGGATCATGGTTTGATTCCTAGTCAGGGCACATGCCTGGGTAGCAGGCTCAATTCCCAGAAGAGGGCATGCAGAAGGCAGGTGATTGATGATTCTCTCTCATCATTGATGTTTCTATATCTCTTTCTCCCTCTCGCTCTTTGAAATATTTATATATATATCTACATATTCTAGAGGCCCAGCCTACAAAAATTTGTGCACTCGGGGGGGAGGGGGTCCCTCAGCCCGGCCTGTGCCCTCTAACAGTCTGGGACCCCTCGAGGGATGTCCACCTGCTGGCTTAGGCCCATCCCCTGGGGAGTGGGCCTAAGCTGGCAGTCAGACATTGCTCTGGCAGCCCAGGAGCCCTCAGGGTATGTCCACTTGCCAGAGGAAAGCAAGCCTAAGCTGCAGTCGGACATCCTTAGCACAGCTGAGGCAGGAGAGGCTCCTGCCACCACTGCTTTGCTGGCAGCCATCTGCCTGGCTTGTGGCTGAGCAGAGCTCCCACTGTGGGAGCACACTGACCACCCAGGGGAGCGCCTCCATTGAGAGTCTGCCCCCTGGTGGTCAGTGTTTGTCATGTGACCAGTCATTCGCAGTCATTCTGCTGTTTGGGTCAATTTTCATATTACCCTTTTATTATATAGGATATATATACACATATATATGTATATATATGTACATATATATACACACACACATATATATACATATATATATTTAGCAGGTGAAGCTAATAGAGAAATGCCTAGCTGGTCCAATTTTTGAACAGATATGTCTTTAGACTGTGTGTTTCCTATTTATATTTTGACTTCTTAAGCTTCTTTCAGGGACAACAGATTATTTCTGTTCCAGAAAAAAAAAGTACATTTATTAGAGAATTTCCTATTTCGATAATAATAAAAATATGAAATACTAAGAAACTGTATTAGTAAAGTGATTGAAGGCATGGGCTCTGTGGTAAAATGGTCTGGCATCAGAGTCTGCCAGTTCTGCCAGCTGGGCAACCTTGCATCTTATTTTCCTTGTTTTATGTTTGGAATCATGAAAATACCTCCCTCATGGGGTTTTAGAAAAAGCTATTTAACCTTTTAGTATATTAGTTTCCTCCTCCTTAAAATAATGATAAAACCTTTAGTAATGTTTGGTTACTGTTAAGAGTAAATTTTAATATATGCACTAGAGTCCCAGTGCACGGATTTGTGCTCTGGTGGGAGGGAAGGGCCCTCAGCCTGGTCTGTGCCCTCTCCCAGTCCGGGACCCCTCAGGGGATGTCCGCCTGCTGGATCAGGCCTGACCTGGCAGTCAGACATCCCTCTCACAGCCCGGGGCTCTCACAGTCCAGGACCCCTCACTCATTACCGCCCACCTGCAGTGGAGGCAGGAGAGGCTACCGTTCCCATTGCTTCACTCACCAGCCATGAGCCAGGCTTCTTGCTGAGCGGCCTTCCCCATGTGAAAGTGCACTGACCCCCAGGGGTCAGCTCCTGCATTGAGTGTCTGACCCCTGGTGGTTAGTGCACATCATAAGTGACTGGTCCTTCTGCAGTTCAGCCAATTTGCATATTAGGGTTTTATTATATAGGAAGCTGTTTAGTATGGCATGGGTTGAGACACATGACATTTAAAAGGTGCTTGGCATATATTGAACACTCAGTGTTAGTAATTACTATAAAATACTAAGAAATTGAAAAGTATTTTATTTGTTTTTCCTTGTAGGTGA